TTTTTAGAAAACAGACAGACAAATGTTGAATAAACACATTTACTGACCAATAAAAGACCAATAAATGTTGAATCAAACTGGCCCCAGTTCTCCAGCTAACAACTGCCAAGTCCTAGCTCATGTCTTTCTCTGTAGTTTATTTGCCTGAATATAGGTGGCCCTGATGGCTATCTCCTATGATGGGAGGATTCCCTCCCTCAAATTTCTTGGCCGAGTTAAATATGTAATTTTAAAAGGATATAGGTGAAATATCAAATATTTAGTCATAATAACTAATGTATCAACTTAGTCACAAATGCACATTCAAAACTGTTTAAGTTATAAAACCATATATCACTGTGGAAATATGGTTTTTTTCATTAAAAATGTTTCATAAAACAATGTTTTCAAATGCTTGCCCTTTAAGCATCACTATTCTGTCAACACTAAAGATACTTTTTGAGTCTTCTAACCTCTTCACTTGGTCTAAGTTGTCTGAGATACAGCACTTTCCAGACCCATAGCTGATGCTGTCACTGGAGGTTTTATCTCCCGTCAGCAGGTGCCACTTATGTAACATGAGGACAGTATATGTCTTGGAGGCACAAAATCACCATCTCAGCAACTTAGTCATTCATTGTGTTGTTCTTTAAAGGATTGTATCCAGCATCATCCAATCCTTGCAGAATTGTGAAATTCTGCCCTCAAAAATAATTAGAAAATTTGAGTTAATTTTTATTCTTTTGATGTGTATCTATACGTATCTAAAACTAGCACATTGATTGAGAATGTTTTGACTAATGTACCTTCCACAAACAGCAGTTTGTTCAAAATATTTGCTAGAGTCCCTGTTCTTTGAGAGCCTTTGCAAGGCCTCAAATATAGGGCAATTTCTTCTTTTTCTAAGGAATAATTTTTTTGGGGAAAAAAACCTTCTCTTCATATTTTGGTATATATGATCATTCCTTCCATATCTTTTTTTCCCTCCCATGCACTCAAGCACCAAGTCCTGCCATTTTTTTCTCCATGATGTCACTCATGTCTTCTTCTCTTTCCGTACATACCAAGGTCACAGCCCTAGAACTTTATTCCCATCAGAGAGACCACTGGCAGTTATCCTCCAATTTCTTCCTTCCTCTCTTTTCTTAGTACTACCCCCACTTTTTAACCAGACTTGTGACAGGCTGGAATAAAGACCATGGCTCCCAGTTCTCCCTTCTTGCCTTTGTGACTACATGCTGGCCAGGGGATGGCAGTGGACATGGTATGTACAACTTCTGAAAAGCATCCTAAAGGAGGGATGGGAACGACCTCCTTGCTTTTCCCCTTCCTCCTGGCTGGAATGAGGACATCGTGGCTGGATACCCAGCAATCATTTTTAACCATGATCCACGATGGAAACAGAAGCCATGCTACATGGTAAAGCAAGGCACAGGACTGTGGGTGCCTGACCCCACCCTCACCCTGGACTCACTGCCTCCAGGCTTCTAGAATGCAAGACAAAAATCAACTTCCTTCTTTAAGCCACTGTTATTTCAGTTTTTTTTTTTTTTGTAAGGTGGAATTGAACATTCGTCCTAACGAATAGACTATTTCTAAGTCTCTCCTACTGAATCCATCTAGCACCAGGGCTGAATTCAATCTTCCCAACACACTATTGTGCTAATCAGACGCCTGCTCAAAAGCTGCCAGTGACTTCCAACTTTCACGTGCCTATCGGATAAAATCTAGATTCCTTGGTTTAGCATTCAAAGCCCTGTCACCTGGCCCTGTGTTGTAATGCTACACTGCCCCACCTACCCCACCAACACACACACACACACACACACACATACACACAGACACACACACATTAACCCTTCATCCAGCCCCACCCCATAACCTTGTACAATGTCTCTTACTCTCTGCTGGTTGGATTGAGTTGATAACAACTGACATGTGGGTAGGTAGTCACTCCCTCTCAAAATGAACTGATGGAAAGAACCCAAATGATACACTGTGCTGGAGTCATACATGAGATATTATGCAGCAAGAGAAAAGAATGAATTACCACTTCATGCATTAACATCATACATGTACAAACATATTATTGAACAAAATAAAATTCAAAATAGATAAAACTAATCTACTATCATAGGAATCAGGATAGTGGTTACACTTAAGTGTCAGTGCATAGAAAAAGGCATGAAGGGAGTTTGGGGTCCTGAAAATGTTCTATTGATTCATCAGAATGCTGATTACACATTCATGAGAAATAATCCTGCTGTATCCGTGCTTTGTGGCATCCTAAGTCCCATAACCTGGCCTTACGCTACAATGCTAACCTCAACAATTCCCCCCAGCCATCCCCTCCCTGACACACATACAAACACACACATATACCAGCAGACACATGGGGCCAAGACTGGAACCCAGGTCCCTCAGGTGCCCAGCTCAGTGTGTTCTGGGTTGTACCTCCACTGCCTCTCATCACTGACATCGTCATTACCACCAATTCATGACAACAGCTCAAGCCTCTGGAATCAAGCCCAGCCCTGCCTTCCTCTCTGAGTCCCCTCCAGGATCCTGTCAGGTAAGGCAGCAATGGCTGTCTGCCAAGCCACATGGCAGGGTTCAAAGATGACCTCACAGTCTGGAGCTCCAAGTGGCAACTGGTCCCTTGGAAGTGCCTCTGGTGCTGTTTACTAGGAACAGTGACGACATGCTCCACTTTCCATGGCACTTCAGCCTCCATCTCCCCATGACCCTCCTGAGCTATTCTCATATGCACATTAAAGAGGGCAGCCCTCCTGAGCATCCCTAAAGATGGGGAGTCCCAGGGACATGGGTGCTGCAGACCAGAGAGCAGTGAGTCCTGAGGAAAGCACTTAGAGACTCTCTTACCCACTTGACTGGCCTTAAACTCAACCACTCACCCCCTCAGTCTTAGCACGTCCGCTGTCACTGCCTTCCCAGTTTCACACCCAACACCATGTGCTTGCCAGCGTTTACACCCATCACACCCTTTGGCCTGCTTTTCCTGAGACCTGAGCCTGTCTCTACCACTTTCTCCAGCCACACCCCTGCTTTACTCCTTGCCTTCTTTTAGGCACCAGTCACACCTGTTTCGAGGAAAATTGTGGGATTTCCTTCTAGGGCCTCCAAAGACCCTCTTATTGCTTTTCTATCTTTCAAGAAGCAATCTTCTATTTCCTTTTCTTTAAATTATTTTTAAAGATTTTATTTATTTATTCATGAGACACACACACACAGAGAGAGAGAGAGAGAGAGAGAGGGAGGGAGGGAGGGAGGGAGGCACAGACACAGGCAGAGGGAGAAGCAGGCTCCATGCAGGGAGCCCAACGTGGGACTCGATCCCAGGTCTCCAGGATCACACCCTGGGCGGAAGGTGGCACTAAACCACTGAGCCACTGGGGCTGCCCACTTTTCTTTAAATTTTGAGCCACATTACTCAAGCCACATTACAACCACCTCTTGCTGAACAGAGATACATAGTGTTCGCTGATAAGAGCTTAGGGCCTGACAACCATATGAAGGTATCTCAGAGGGGGACTCTGCTATGGCATCTCCAGTGAGTGAGCTCAGGCCACAGTGGCTCCAGTTTGCTTGTGTCTGGATGCTAGGAGCAAGGTACCCTGGAGCCCTGGTTTACAAAAGAGTCCTGGCAGCTGGGAGGCCTGAGGCTGAATTCTACTGACAGGAATAAAAGTATGAACAGGTAGTAAAGAGCCACAGATCTCTGCATTCCCAAGGGGATTCTAAGGCACCAAACTTCACAGTCTAAGAGGAAACTTTCCAGGCCATAAATCCATTTTGGTATCTTGATATGATCTTATGACACTGTCCCTGAGAAAGCAGGCAAGGAGAGCTATGCAGGAGTGGAGTCCAGAATGGAAAACTCCAGTTAAACACATACGATTATCTGTCATTTTCATGTATCTGTGATGAGGCTATCTTCCTGAGTTGGGGAGGTGGTGACTGCTCACAGGAACTCCTTGCTTTCCCTGGAAAGAGGGGTCATGAAACTCACTACCTAGCGTTAGGATGTGCCTGGAACTGTTCGAAGGACTTTAATTCTCACAGCCCTGCAGGTATTACCATCCCCATTAGACAACTGAGGCATAGAGTAGTTAAGTAACTCCAAGGTTACCGACCTGTGAGCTTCACAGCTAGCGTTTGAACCTAGGCAGGCTAATTCCAGACTCTATGCCCTTGACCACCAACCCCCACGACCTCCCTTCTCCTGGAAGGCCCATTCAATGCACTTGGTGCAGATGCATCCTGGCTCCCTGATTCATGACAATTTGAAACTCAGTCAGTCGGGTTAGTTCAGAGTGGCTGTCTGTCCTGAGGATCTACCTTCCCATGGTCCCATCCTGGAGACCTGAACCACAGGGAGTCCTCATGCCTCTGTCCCCTCCCCAAACCGTCCTTGCGGTTTCCAGCAACTAGCACACAATGCCCTCCCCTTTCTGTCCTCTCTCCACAATGGAGAGACAGCGCAGGGGGGACCGAGAACCCAATACAGATGACACGGCATAAAATACCAGCCGACCGCGGGGAAGAAGCCGACCGCATCGGGGCCTGCCGCTGGGATAGGACTCACGCCTCACGGCCACTCCACAAGTCTGTCTCCCCAGGGCCGCGGGAGCCCGGGCCGGAGTCCCCGCGGCGGGACACAGCGCCCCCACCGGGCCCTGCAGGACGCCGGCCGCGCCGTGAGCCCGGAGCCGGGAGCGCGCCCCGCTGGGCCGCCGGGGGTGGCCCCACTTCTCCCGGGCCCGGGCAGCGCCGCTGCGGCCCCGCGCGCGCCCAGCCGGGTCCGGAGCTACTGGCCCCCGCGTCGGGGCCGCTCGGGGGGCCCCTGGCTGCAGGCGGCGCGCGGGGCCGCAGCGGCGGTGGGGGGGGGCACAGTCTGCGCGCGCCCGTCCGCCCCGGCTCCGCGGGCCCCTCGGTCGGTCCGTCAGCGCCTCGGGGCAGCGGGGCCACGCGGAGCCCCGGCGGAAGCGCGCCCCGCTCACCTGCAGCCGCTACCGCGGGCGCCGGGGCGGCGGGACGGGCGCGGCCCCCCGGGTCTCGGTCGTCGGCCTCCTGGGAGACGCGGCCCTGCCCCGGCGCTGCTCGCGCGGGCGGTGGAAGGAGTCCGAGCCGCGGCCGCCGTCTCCTCCCTCGCCGCTTCCTCCAAGTCCCATCCCAGAGCGCTCCCCTCGCTCGCGGCTGCCTGCGCGGCCCGGGGCCAGGGCGGGAGGGCGGCGGGGAGGCGGGGAGGCGGCGCCGCGGCGAGGGTGGGAGCGGGCCGGGCTGGAGGAGGGCTGTCGTCTTTGGGGACGGGGCGGCGCGGAGAGGGAGCGGCCGCGAGTGCAGCCCCACCCTGCGGGCAGCCGGGACCGGACACCCTAGCCCCCCCCCCCCCCCCCCCCGCTCCTCTCGCTCCCTCCGCAAGCCCAGGCGGGATTCAGACTCTAGGGGTCCGGACGGAGACTCAGAACAACAGAGGCTTTGAGGGACTTGGCCTCAAAGCCAAGTGTGGGGTGGGGGCGGGGAGAGAGCACCTCCGAGGGCAGGGAGGCCTGGCAGGGGTACTCTGTCCTGAACTTGAGGTCATGATCTGCAGGAGGCATCCATCCATGATGGTGATGAAGAAGAAATGGCGAGAATGGGATAATTGGTGACAAGTGCCAGGCCCTGTCTTGGCAGCGCCCAGAACACCCCCCCCCCCCAGTGCCGGTTCGTATTAACAGAGCATCCACTGGCCAGGGACCAGGCCAGGCCTCTGGGGGTGAGGAGGGGAGTAAGGATGCCAGGAGAGAGAGGAAACAAAGTTCCTACCCTGAAGAAGCAGAGAAAGTCGAGCTCTGACAGGACTTTTGAAGATATTTGCAACTTTATAAGGTGGGAGAACATGACCTTAGGGGTCCCCGCAGAACATAGGAGGGATGCAGATGACAGGATTGGTCAGCGGCAGGGAAAGGGGCTGGCAAGCCACTCCACACACTGCATGCCGCTCCTGACCAGCATGGGTGAGTGGGCAATGTACACCAGGCCAGCACATCTCCTAATAATGTCTCCAAAATTCTATCTCCAAACCATTAACTCAACCCACCCAGCTCAGGTTTTAACAAGCTACAGGAGAAAGGCAGCAAAACTAATGAGTTTCAATACCTTTGGAGGTGCCAGAGTCTGATAATTTAAGTGCTCTTGGCTGCCTTAACTCCTTTTACTGCCTTGCCTAACCATCACTCCTATTTTATGATCGAGTTGCTTTCTGGAATATAAATGAACACCATGTACAAAATCAATTCCTCAGAAAAGTTCCAGGAGTGGGATTTAAAAATTCCAGCCATAAAGCAAGGGGTTAACACACTCAAGCCATCAGGCAACTCCATGGTGCCATATGCAGAGAAAAAAATCTGGGATTCATGTTCCCTTGTCTCCCTAACCTGCACCTTAGGCCCACCAGGCACTCTTGGCTACCCGAGCAGATCAGAAATAGTTTCTTTGTGTGTCTTTGGGAGGAGGTAGGTAGAGGTCAGAAAGCAAAGAAAGTCTTCAGGAAATGTTTGGTCTCTGAAGTCTTGGATCCCACAGAAGAAAATTCTTCCTGAGTCTGAGCCAGTGAAAATCCCCTAGGAGCTGGGGAGGTTGAGCTGCAGTTTATGGAAACTTGCATTTAAAATGTGTTGCCTTTTTCCAAGACACCAGTATGATCCAGTAATTTACTGAGAAAACAATAGCAATTCCAAAATCCTTCCAAATTTGAAGGAATTGTAACTGAGTAACTGGTTCCAGGGACTCCAGTATATGCCAACTAAAATGGGTGTTTTTCTCCAGGGAATTCTATCAGAATTCTTCAGAATATGAATCTCTGTATGTAGCACTCCTTGGGTCCAAGTCAAATAGTTTAATGAGTTGTTCTACCTTGTGGAATGATCTTCAGTTCAGATCTGCCAGAAAAAAAGGAAGCAAAAGCGAGCTCAATGTCTTGAAATATCAAGTCAGAAAAAATAATTCCTTAACTTCTCTGTTACCTTCTAGGTGAACGCAATTTGATAACAGAGGCTCTTGGGGAAAGCCCAGATTTGCTCTTTCTGCCAGAGGCCTTGCTACCAGCATAGTGTACAGAGAATCTTATTCAGAAGTATGGGTTTAAGATTTTCAGTTCTCATGCAGGCAATTGTATAAGTAGACAAGAATGAGGGCATATAGTATCTGAAAGTTCAAGAGTTAGTTGAAATGGATAAATTAAAAATTTGTTAAATTTAAAAATGTAAAATTAAAAAATGTTTAAATTCCTTACACCTGATAGCTATACAGGGTTCAAATCTCAGTTCTGTATCTCCACATGTGGTCTATTGTGGAGTTAGGACTGGGGTGGGGGATATAATTTGACCCAGGACTCACATTTGTGATTAACCTCATAGAGACTTTTAACATATGAATTCATCTGTTCCTTATAAACATTAAAACTTTCTGTTTTGTTATGGTTTGCTTTCTAGAGGGCAGATTGAAACAGACTGAGACTATTAAATGAAAGGGGACCAGAAACCAAAGTGCAGATAGGTTGGTTCACAGACCTATAACCCAAAATAAACCTTGTACTGAATGGGTGAGGAGAAATGTAAAATTGCAGGTTTACCTCCCTTGCACTGTTTCTCAAGGTGATTGATGATGCTTGAGTCCCATGTAAACTGTTGGCGCTCCCCATTCTCTCATCAAGGAGAAGGGCAGGATGTCTTACATAGGAAAGGAGACATTTCTCCTTTGGGCCAGCTGCCAACTGGTTGGGACTGGAGGTTCAGATGGGAGCATTGCAAGGCTGTGGTTGGGTTTGTACTCCAGCCCAGGACAATGCTTCCTCCTGGATGCCCCATCAACATAGACAACTGGTCCCATGCCCAGGAGATCCTCCTTGAGGACAAGCTGGCTGATGGTACTGTTGTCCAGTACCAGTGAAATGATTTCTAAAAAAAAAAAAAAAAAAATTCCACCTTGGAAAGACAAGATGAAAGATGAAAGTGATCAGGAAAAAACTATAGCAATAGCAAGTCAAATTTTTATTTAGGAAAACAATATACACTTCAAAGAGGACTCAAATGTTTTTATGTGATCTTGAACTCAGATCTTTTGCTCCTGAAGCCAGGGACCAGGAGCAAATATCTTCTTGTTTTCAGATATTGCCCTATGCCATCCCATAGAAAGGAAATGAACCTGGAATTTAGAGCCTTATAATGTTTGCAAAATCAAGTTGATGAGGCTACCTATTAAAAATGAGATGAGATAATAGCACGGGCTGGGAGTTTTAACATATAGGCAAGAGCAAGTGGAAATCTGACTTGTTCTCTTGGATATCATCAAGGCTAAAACATGGCCTATCGTCCTGGAGACTAATTTCCCCTTTTGAGTGGAAGATGGACCTGCTATGCATGGAAGCGTCAGTCACTCCACTGCCTCTTTCATTCTTAAATCTAGGAATTGGCACAAAGAGGTCTGCTGTTAGAAGTCAATAGCCGCATCCCTGTGACACTCAATTGTCTACCTTCACTCAATGCTGTTAATAAATTGATATCTACATTGGTTGCCTGGTGTGAAATCAGACTGCATATTGCAATACTTGGGCAATGACCATGTGCATCTGTCCTAAAAATTCTCCAGGATGCTGGCAGAGCTCAAAAATGGCAACTCAAGAATAACAAAATATCTGAAGTCAGGACTTTTACATGTTCTCTCTTGCTGAAGAAAATAGCTGGGATGTGGTTATTACTGGGGTTCAACAAAAGGGGAGACGCTACAGATGGTCCAGTGGAAAGAATAAGGCAATGCACTGCGGAGAGTCACAATAAATCATAAGATGGAGAAAAATAAGACATAGTGAATAAAGTGAACAATTTCGTTGGGAGAGCAGTCTTTGAAAAGGAGCAATGGAAATGTCTTGACTCATTTAAAATGAGAATTGACAAAGCAATTACCAAGTACAGAAAGTGCCAAAGCATTACTGGCTACCTGTATACTATATGTGAACAAAAAGAGATTGAGAAGAGGATGCAATAACCAAAGTTTTAAACAGGTGAAAATATATTCTAGTTAGAGTAAAATGTCTAAGACAGCCTGGCATCCCTGGTCAGGCCTAATGAGAGGGCTCTGACTAGCACTGCTTCACCTTTAGCTCCAGCCTATGCGTGGGGGCAGAATAATGTTGTCAGAACCATTTCTGAAAATCAGTTACAGGCATACCTCAGAGATACTGTGAGTTTGGTTCCAGATCACTGCAATAAAGCAAGTATCACAATAAAGGGAGTCAAGTGAATTTTTTGGTTTCCCAGTGTACACAAAAATTACATTTTTAAAATATTTTTATTTAAATTCAATTTAGTTAACATACAGTGTATTAGTAGTTTCAGGGGTAAATTTTAGTGATTCATCAGCTGCATAGAACACTTAGAACTCATCATATCAAAGCCTTCCTTAATGCCCATCACCCACCTACCCCACCCCCTCACCCACCTCCCTTCCAGCAACTCTCAGTTTGTTCCCTATAGTTGAAAGAGTGTCTTACAGTTTGCTTCCCTCTCTGTTTTTATCTTATTTTATTTTTCCTTCTTCTGTGTTTATCTGTTTTGTTTCTTAAATTCTACATATGAGTGAAATCATATGGTATTTGTCTTTCTCTGATTTATTTTGCTTAGCATGATACCTTCTAGTTCTATCCATGTCATTGCAAAGGGCAAGATTTCATTCTTTTTGATGGCTGAGTAATATTCCATTGTATATATACATCACATCTTCTTTATTCATTCATCTGCTGATGGATCTGGGCTCTTTCCATAGTTTGGCTATTGTGGACGTTGCTGCTATTATCTTTGGGGTGCATGTGCCACTTCAAATCACTGTGTTTGTATCCCTTGGGTAAATACCTAGGAGTGCAATTGCAGAGTCGTAGGGTAGCTCTATTTTTTAACTTTTTGAGGAACCTCCACACTGTTTTCCAGAGTGGCCATACCAGCTTGCATTCCCACCAACAGTGCAAGAGGGTTCCCCTTTCTTTGGATCCTTGCCAACATCTGTTGTTTCCTGACTTGTTGAATTTTTTTTTAAAGATCTGATTTACTTATTTGGGAGAGAGAAAGAGTACAGGAGAAGAGTGAGAGTGAGAGGGAGAAGCAGATTCCCTGCTGGACACAGAGCTTGACATGGGACTCTATTCCCAGGACCCAGATTATGACCTGAGCCGAAGGCAGATGCTTAACCGACTAAGCTACCCAGGCACATC